ATCTTTTCCCTCATCCTCAGAGCCCTGAACATGGTCACAGATTTCCTTCTCCAGCCTCCATCCCTCCACAGAGCCCCCAGGCCATGTCACCTCTCTGGTTTATGGGGTCCTTGGCCACATAGGCGACGTAATCCGTGGTATCCTGCAGACAGAGGGGACATCAGGACTCATGTCCAGCTGCTCTCAGGCTCAGCCCCACGTCCTGGGCCAGGCCAGGCCACCCTGTGCCCAGCTCAGCTGGCAGAACCTGTCCCCACCATCCTGTGTGTGTGTCACTCACCATGTCCCCACCGGAGGCGAAGGAGATGGACTGCATGTGGTGGTTGGCGATGATCTGCATGGAGAACACGGCCCAGGGGGGGAATTAACAAAGTGTCCCCCGGTTGCCAGGCTGGCAGGCAGCAGGAATGTGTGCCCAGGATGCCCAGGAGCGCTCACCTGGCGCGTGGTGGGGATCATGAGGTTCAGCCCATCCACGGAGATGTTGACAGCGATGCTCATGCCGGCGAAGTGCAGGTTGCTCTTGCCCAGGATGGAGAACAGGGCTTTGTTGGGAGCCTGACAGGGGAGAGGGTGCTGGGGGCAATGAAACCACCAGGACCAGCCCCACATCCCTTGTGCCAGGGATGGACAGGATAAGTGCGAACTCACCTTCTTCTTCCAGATGCCCTTCACACCCGGCACCGCCTCGTACAGTCTGTTGATGGCTTCCCTGCAATGGACAGAGCCTGGCCTGCTCACTGCTCCACATCCCAGCTGTTTTCCCACCCCACATTGCCCTGTGGGGTCGGCTGGCCCCACATCCCCGGGCTCTGCAGCGTCCCCGCAGCGCTGCCCCACGTCACGGCCCCGGCCCCGGTACATAATCCCGGCTGGGGCCACCTCCCTTCTCCTCTTTCCACCCATTGATCTGCAGCAGCGCCCTTCCTCTGTGTCCCTGGTGCAGGGCACGGCTTTCCTGGGCCTGTGTTCCCCTTTCTGCACAGGGCCCTGGGATGGGGGAGCATCCAGAGCCACCAGGGAGTACCCAGGGCCACCGAGGAGCACCCAGGACCACCGAGGAGCACCCAGGGCCACCAGGGGCTTGGGGTGGCACTGGGATGTGAGACAGTGGGACTGCAGGGCCATACCTGGTGACCTGTGTCCGCGTGTTGAAGTCCAGGGACCTCATGGAGCGCAGCACCTCAATGCACCCCATGTACTGCGGGGGGAGAGCAGCACAGCAGGGCAGGAAAGGGACAGGAGAGGGTGTCAGGGACAGCTCCACAGCAGCTCCAGGCATCACACAGCAGCTTTCAATCCCTACCCCAAAATGCCCCATCACACTCCCAGATCCTGTGCTAACACCCCAAAATCTCATCTCTGTGCTCCAGCTTGTGATGCCTGGTAGGGGATGGACACACTGGAGTCCCAGGGTGGGCTCCAGGGCCCAGCAAGCCCACGGGGCCCGGCCCCATCACGGCTGTGATGTACCAGGGGGGCTGCCCCGGTCCAGCCGTGTCGGGAGGACCCGAGCGAGGGCTCAGCTGGATGAACCGGACCCACCGAGCCCCGCACACGCCCGGGCCCGGGGCTCTCCGCGCCCTCCCGCGCCACCGGCGGGACTTACCCGGACAATGTAGGAGACGCCGGGCCCCAGCACCCGCTCGTCGGGGTGCAGCCAGCCCTGCGCCGGTTTGCGGATGAAGCTGCCCTTGCGGCTCCACTCATCCCCGCCGGGCCGGGCCCCCGCCGGTGCCGGTGCCGCCGCCGCGCCCCGCGCCCGCCCCGCCGCTCCCCGCGCCCTCCCGCCGCCCGGTAGCGCGCAGGGCGCGGCGCAGAGCGGCTCGCAGGCGCCCAGCACGGCGGCCAGCCCCGAGGGAGGCTCCGCCGCCGCGGCGGGGGCGTCCCGGGAAGCACCGGCGGGGCCGCGGCCGAGGAAGCCGCTGGAGCCGGGGAACTTCCACTGCGGCATCCGCGGCAGCAGCGCGCAGAAGGTGGTGCCGTGCTCGGGCTCCTCGCCCGCCGCGGGGCACGGCGCGGGGGCCGGCGACGGCATGGGGGCGGTCAGCGGCTCGTCGCGGAAGCGATCATACTTGGGCTCCGGGAGCATGCCCGGGGCCGCGCTCCGCTCCACTGCCGCCGCCGCCGCCGCCGCCGCCGCCGCGCCGGCTCCCACCCCCCGCCCGCTCCCCCGGGGCCGCGCCGCGCTGATGTCATGGTGAGAGCGCTGCTCCGCCGCCCGCCCGGCCCCGCATCCTCCGCCCCCGACCCCCCCCGAGGCCTCCAGAGCATCCCCGTTCCGCCCCGCATCCCCGCCCAGCGGCATCCACCCCGCACACAGCGGAGCATCCCCGTCCTGCCCCGCATCCCCGCACACGGCGGAGCGTTCCCGCACACAGCAGCATCCACCCCGGCTTGCCCCCGCGGACACGGCCAGTGGGGCCGGAGCCACCCACGCTGTGCCCTCCATCCTGCTCCGATCCCGTGGGACAGACCCTGAGCGTTTCCAGCTTTGCCATAAAGCGTTGGGAGCGAGGGGATGGGGGTGACAGCCCCTCCCGGAGCCACCCACGCTGTGCCCTCCGTCCTGCCCCGAACCCCCTGGCCGTGGGGCTGGGGCTGGCCCTGAGCGTTTCCAGCTTTGCCACAAAGCGTTGGGAGAGAGGGGATGGGGGATCAGGAACGGGAGGGTGACGGCGCATCCCGGAGCCACCCACGCTGTGCCCTCCGTCCTGCTGAGGCTGGCCCTGAGCATTTTTAGCTTTACCACAAGCGTTGGGAGCGAGGGGATGGGGGATCAGGCAGTGGAAGGTGACCGGGAGCCCCTCCGGAGCTAGCGGGCTGTGCCCTCCGTCCTGCCCCGAACCCCCTGGCCGTGGGGCTGGGGCTGGCCCTGAGCATTTTTAGCTTTACCACAAGCGTTGGGAGCGAGGGGATGGGGGATCAGGCAGGGGAGGGTGACCGGGAGCCCCTCCCGGAGCCACGGGGCTGTGCCCGCTCGCGTTTTGGTTTAGCTGGAGCCAAAGCGGCCGGTGCTGCCCTCGCCCACAACGGGGCCATTTTCTGCTCTTTCCACCTCTGCATGCCCAGGGTTGGCCGGGCAGGAGGCGGGGGAGGGCTCGGCCAGGCTTCGATGCACAAGCGGGCTGCCCTACTTGTGTGTGTCTCTCTCGCTGTGATCTCATCCACAGCCAGATCTGACTCTTTTGTTTATATCTGTCTGGAGGGCTCAAGCAGCGAACAGCACAAACATTTTCTTGTTGTTTTTTTTTTCGGCTTGTAACTGCGGCAAGCAGGGGGGGAAAAAATCCCATAAAAGCCTTAAAGGGATTTTCTGACCTCAATCGAGCGGTTCGCCCTTGCTCCTGCCCTGGGGCTGCGGCGTTTTCCGAGCGGCTCAGAGGATTGGAGTGCTGGAGCCCCCTCACTTTTCCCCAGCCCTGCATCCCCTCCGTCCCCAAAGTGGTTTTAATGTTAGGGCTGCACCATGGCAGCATCTCAGGCTCATTTCAGCGCTTGTTTTCAGCTTGCTCGGGTCGCTTTTCGGTCCAACACCCTCCAGCCCCCGCGGTAACCGGCACAAACAACACCGGAGCCCCCCCGGGGGCCGGCACAAACAACACCGGAGCCTCCCCGTGCCCCGGACGGCACAGCCGCCTTTGTCTCCTCTCCTCCTCGCTGTCTCCTGCTCCCCGGCAGGTGCCGGGGTGAGAGCCAGTAATTGCTCTAAGTGCGATCAATAAATCAAGGTAATAGAATTACATCTGCCGTTGCCATGTTGGGAAGCGCTTCCCTGCTCTCTGATCGCTCCCCTTGGTTTTGTTTTTGTGAAAAACGCCCAATCACTTGGTTTTTAAAAAATTTAAAAGTTTAATAGTAAAGAAATGGTTATAAAAATAGTAAGGCAATTAGAGTAATAATAATTTGGACAATTTGGATTAGGACAATATGAGACAATAGAGACAAAGAGTTATGGACAGTCCAGGTACCTTTTTCTGGGCAGCACAAGGCCGAAAAAGGACACAGTTAACAAAGGATTAACCCTTAAAAGCAATAACCTGTTGCATATTCATACACCTCATGCATGATACATAAATTCCATTCAAATACAGGATTCTGTCTGGTCAGTGTCAACTTCTTCCTCATAATCCTAACAGCGCCTTCGAGGTGGGAAGAAATTAATTTCTCCTGATAACGGGGCAATAAATTCTTTTTCTCTGAAAGATTTAGGTGTCCTGGGGCTGCTATTTCGCTGCGAGTCCTTTCTTTGGGATGGGATCCATGGGATGGGATGGGATCCATGGGATGGGATGGGATGGAATCCATGGGATGGGATCAATGGGATGGGACAGGATGGGATCCATGGGATTTTTGGGGATGGAATTGGACGGGATCCATGGGATTTGTTCCATGGGATGGGATGGGATCCATGGGATGGCATCCATGAGACGGGATCGTCCTGGGAAGGTGGTTGGCTGTCACCACGCCGGGATGCCGGTGCTGAGTTCAGAGCCAGCACCTCGGTACCGGGAGAGCCGCGCCGGGACAGACGCGGCCCTGCCGGTGCCGCCAGCCCCGGGGCGGCCGCGTGTCCTTGTTGACCTGGCCTGCCCCAGCCGGGAGCGGTGCCCGTGACGGAGCAGCAGCCGCCCCCCAAGGCTCCCCAGGGCCCCGGATCGCTGCCGGTGCCACTGCCCGTTCCCGGTGCTACCGCCGGACCGTGACGTCACGGCCCCGCCCAAACCACTGAGAAATCCCCCGCCCCCTCCACCGGCTCAGCCAATCACAGACCAGAATGGCGATGACGAAGCTACGGAGCAGCCAATGAGACGCGAGGAGCGGCGCGGCGGAAGTGGCCGTTCCCGGTGCGGGGGCGGGGCCAGCGGGCGGAGCCGCCCCCTCCGCTCCGCACGGCCGCCCTCAGCGCCGGGCCCGGCGCTCCCCGCCCGGTGCCGGTCCCGGTCCGGTGCTGGTGCCGGGCCCGGGCTCGGCCTCTGCGCAGCGCGGCCCGCTCCGGTTCGGCCCGGCCCGCCACGGGGAGGATGGGGCAGCCGCGGCGGCCGGTGAGCGGCAGCGGCCCGGCGGCGCCATGACCGGCGAGAAGAAGAAGAAGAAGCGGCTCAACCGCAGCGTCCTGCTGGCCAAGAAGATCGTGATCCGGGACGGGGCCGGCGTGAGCGCGGGGCTGCGGGGGATGGCGGGGGGATGGCGGGCACCGGAGCGATGCCGGTACCCGGTGAGGGCTGGCCCCGCTGGGCCGCGCTCCTCAAAGCGGCCCCGCTGCTGCGGCGGCCGGGCCGGGACGCGGCGGATGCTGAGGATGCCGTGATGGGCGCTGCACCTGCCGGTCTGCGCCGCTTCCCCCGGGCGCTCCCGTTCCTGGGCGGCAAAACCGGAGCGGCGCCGGGCAGGGAACCCCGCACCGACCCGGGAACCCCGCACCGACCCGCTGGGGGTGGATTGAAGCACCCTGGGCTGGATGTGAATAAAAAGAAAATTTCGGAGCAGCGTCTCTCGCTGCCTTCACTCGTGTCCGAGACCCCCCAGTCACAGATATATTTTATTAAAAATTCTTTCTTTACGGTTTTTCCTTCTGAGAAGCTGAGAGGCTTCAAAAATTAAATGTAAACTTTGATTATCTGCTGCTGTGGAATGCAACAGGTGCATCTGGGATTGGCTCATGTGTTGTTTGTAATTAATGGCCAATCAAAGTCAGCTGGCTCAGACTCTGGTCAGTCACAAGATTTTATTGTCATTCCATTCCTTTCAAGGATGGTGAAAGGATGAAATCCTTTCTTCTATTCTTTTAGTATAGTTTTAATATGATACATATAATAAAATAATAAATAAACCTTCAGAAACGTGGAGTCAAGCTTCTCATCTCTTCCCTCATCCTGGGACGCCTGAGACCACCACCACACCCCCAGCTGTGTGAGCTCTCTCTGAGGCTGCTGAAAGGTTTTTATTTTTTATTTTCCTGTGTTTTGCAGCGCCAGGGGATTGGGGAGCCCAGTGTGTACCATGCAGTGGTTGTGATTTTCCTGGAGTTCTTTGCCTGGGGGCTGCTGACCACGCCAATGCTCACGGTGAGTGTGTGTCCATGGCAGCTCTACTGAGAATTAAGGTTTTAGCACCACCTTTCACTGGGGAACTGTGGAAAAGGAGGGCTTGGTTATGCAAAAAATACATTTAGATATATTAGTCTATAAATCTATATTTATATATAAAATATAAATAATATTTATATTAAAATATCTATATTAATATATAAATATGTAATATAAGGTATATTATATTTTATAGAATATCTATTTTTATATATAATTTGTATATAATATATATGTATATTTATGTTAAATATATATTTATATTGAAATGTATATATATATTATATAATATTTATATTAAAATATAAATATACTATATATTAAAATATAAATATATTATATATTAGAATAATATTTATATTTATGTATTATATATTTATATATTATATATTTAATTTATGATTTTATATAAATTTTAGTTTATTTATTTAATTTATATTTTTATATAATTTATATAATTTATATATATTTTAATAGAATTATAATATAAATGCAAATATATAAAATATATTTAAAATTATATTTATAAACATCAATTTTATAAAAATATTATATATTTATAGAAAATATATTTATAAATGGGATTTTAAAATAGGAATATTATATTCTATATTATATTTATATTAATAATAAATTTATATTAAAATAGAAATATTATTTATATTTTAATATAAAATCAAGCTAACAGCACAAAGGGATACACAGAGAAGGGATGTGGTGACATAGAGTAAAACCAGAGGGGGTTCAGGTGATGGGGAAAGGCTTTCTGAGCATGCTGGAGTGATTTATACACCTGAAAAGTGTTAAAAGCATTTATTTTTATGGTTAAAGGCATTTAAAGGCAGTGATTTCCCATACTGGGAAAGGCTCCTCACATGGAGGCATTGTTGGCAGGATATTTCCCCTTTTCCCTGGATTTTGCCCTACCAGTCCTCTGGCCTACAGAAATTCTGCACTATTTGCTAGCTCTGACTTTTTCATTTGGTTTTTGTTTGTTTTCCTTTGCAGGTCTTACACCAGACTTTTCCTCAGCACACATTCCTGATGAATGGTCTGATTCATGGAGTCAAGGTAAGGAATATTCCTTCCAGGATTTCCTTTAAATCTGCAAGAAGAACAAGCCATTATTTATTTATATAATTTGCTGATGCCAGCCAATATTTGGCCACTTTGAGAGGGTTCTGGCAAACCTGATGCAAAAGGGAGGACACAGATATGGGACAGCTGATTTTACTGAGCAGGAGTGACAACGTAGAGTTACAACAACTGAGTTGTTTCAGCTGGAAATAATCTCACCAGCAACAGATCAGCACTATGCCCATCCTCTGGAGCAAAACAGAATGACAAATCAGTGATTTCTAAATTTATTGGTGATAGAAATTAAAACCAAGTGGCCTCAGTGACCTCCAGGTTGGGATGTGCTGTGGGACTGGGGAGCTTCTTGCAGTAGAGCATAATTGCAGGCAACAGTTGTGAACAGGGAATATTCCTGAGTGAATATTCCCAGTAATATTCCTGAGTGAATATTCCCTGTGAACAGGGAACATTCCTGAATTCTGACTGAGGAATCAGGCAGCACAGACAATTCTTGGCTGTCTCTGCCAACAGGATCTTGGAAAACAGCCCCAGCACTGAAATGCTCTGCCCTGCAGGCTTGGGAGACATGGCAAGGCTTTGAATAATTTTATTTGTGCTTAATGGCCCTGGCTTCTCATTGTCCTGTCTCCACATACAAGGGAAAGCTTTCCCCAGAGCTGCAGCAGCTGTTGCCATGCTGGAGCTGTGCCAGCAGCTCTCCAGGTCCTGGCAGGGCTGCCTGGGTGCCCAGAGCAGAGCTCTGAGGGAGCAGGAGTGCTCAGGATTTGGTTTTGGGGATTTTATTAAACTGCTCTGTTGTGTCAGCATTGGAGCAATCAGGAATGGGTTGTTTCCTCCTGGTGTTGTTGGAAGCTCTCACTGAGGGGTTTTTCTGTCCTCTGGTCTGTCTGTGTGTCCATCCCAGGGTCTGCTCTCTTTCCTAAGTGCCCCACTGATTGGTGCTCTCTCTGATGTCTGGGGCAGGAAATCCTTCCTCCTCCTCACCGTCTTCTTCACGTGTGCACCAATTCCCCTGATGAAGATCAGTCCCTGGTGAGTTCCCCCTCAGTGCAGCCCCAGGGGTCTGAGGAGGGGCTGAGGGATGAGGGTTTGCAGCTGCTCCTTTCAGGGTGAGATGGAAGAATCTCATCCATCTCAAGAATGGAGGAGGATGCTCAGCCTAGAGACTGACTTGTCTGCTTCTGGAGGGTTTAATTGGGAATTAAGGGTTGTTCTGTCCTCTGTGCTTGTTCCTCACTCAGTGCATTATTTCTGGGAAATAATACACTGAGTATTATTTAGGGAAAATAAATGATAAAACTTCAGGGGTCTCCAGACAAGACTCCATGTTCTGGTGCACTGGAACAGGATGGACTGGAGGCAAAACAAAGCAGAGGCTCAGCTTCAGGAGCTGTGGGCCATGGTGTGGCTGCTCTCTGACTGTGCCTTGGGCTCTTGCAGGTGGTACTTTGCTGTCATTTCCATGTCTGGAGTGTTTGCTGTCACCTTCTCTGTGATTTTTGCCTACGTTGCTGATATCACGCAGGAGCATGAGCGCAGCACGGCATACGGCCTGGTAAGGAGCTGAGTCACTGGCCTGGCTCTTGACAGAATTATCTGGGGCTTTGAAGGTAGGAGAGATACAAAATTAGGGTGGGAGATTATTGACTGATCATACAGATTCCTTGTCCTTATGTTTGTGGTTTAGCTGTGAGGGGGAGACTGATCTCTGCCCACTCTTGCTGGCTGTGTCTAAACCAGCCTGGCCCTTCCCCTTTCCACACTTGTGATGCTTGCTGTGATCCTGCCCTTATTTTAGCTTTACAGCACCATCCAGGCATTCCTAGGATAGCTCTGATTCCTTTTTGCCAGAATTTACCTCAGGTGCACCAAGAGAATCTGTCATCTGTGAATTCTGATTTATCAAAGACACCAGAAGGAGTTCCTTGGGTTATTGGGGAGGAGGAAATGGGCTCTAGGAAATGGGCTCTAGGAAAAGGGTTTTCCATCAAAGATGCCAAAAAGAGTTCCCTGGCTCACTGAGGAGGAGGAAATGTGCTGTAGGAAGAAGAAGCTGTAGGGAATTTTTATTTTTCCAGGTGTCAGCCACGTTTGCTGCCAGCCTGGTCACCAGCCCGGCCATCGGCGCGTACCTGTCCCAAGCCTACGGTGACACCTTGGTGGTTGTGCTGGCTTCAGGGGTGGCTCTGCTGGATATTGGCTTCATCCTGCTGGCTGTGCCCGAGTCCCTGCCTGAGGAGATGCGTCCTGTCTCCTGGGGAGCCCCAATCTCCTGGGAACAAGCTGACCCATTCGCTGTGAGTGAGCCTGCTGCCGTGTGAGAAATGGATTTGTCCAAAATTTCTAGAAAAAACAGCACTGCTGTTTTCCTGTGTGCTGGTAATGCTTAATTTTTGCTTTAATCCTGCTGATTTTTAAGGTGTTAAGCCCTTGGTTTGGCTGTTTTTGTAGCTGTCAAAAAAGTCAAATTTTAAAACTTTTTCTCATTCCCCGCTTTCCCTGCAGTCCTTGAGGAAGGTGGGTCAGCACTCCACAGTGCTGCTTACAGCCTGCTGCTGTGTGGGAAATGGATTTCTCAAAAATTTGTTTAAAATCCAGCACTGCTCTTTTCCTATGTGCTGGTAATGCTTACTCTTTGCTTTAATCCTGCTGATTTTTAAGGTGTTAAGCCCTTGGTTTGGCTGTTTTTGTACCTGCAGATTTTTCACTGATATAAAGTCAAAACATTTTAAAACATTTAAACATTTTAAACACTTAAAAACATTTTTTAAAAATGTTTCCCACCCCTTTCCCTGCAGTCCTTGAGGAAGGTGGGTCAGGACTCCGCAGTGCTGCTCACAGTCTGCTGCTGTGTGGGAAATGGATTTCTCAAAAATTTGTATAAAATTTGTGTAAAATCCAAAACCTCTCTTTTCCTATATGCTGGTAATGCTTAATGTTTGCTTTAATCCTGTTGATTTTTAAGGTGTTAACCCTTGATTTTGCTGTCTTTGTACCTGCAGATTTTTCACTGATATAAAGTCAAATTTTAAAACGTTTTTTCTTGTTCCCCACCCCTTTCCCTGCAGTCCTTGAGGAAGGTGGGTCAGGACTCCACAGTGCTGCTCATCTGCATCACAGTTTTTCTCTCCTACCTTCCTGAGGCCGGCCAGTACTCCAGCTTCTTCCTCTACCTGAGACAGGTCAGTCTCCCAAAGCTCTGGGTGCAGGAAATAAATAGAATCAGAGCTCTAGAAATACAATCAGAGTTGTGCCACCTTCCCCAAGGTGGCTTTTCTTGGCCAATAATTGTAAGAAATAGTGAAATTGTAAGAAATAGTGATTTGTTCCAGCTCTCCTGAGGAATGTGTGAGTGCTGACTGCTCTAGGCATTGCCTGGGGCAAGCCTGGCTTGGCTCCTTGCTGGTGTCTGCCTGGCCATCCTGGCTGTGCCACCTTCAGGCAGTGATTTAAAACCATTTTTTCAGCCAGAGGAAAATCTTCTCTTTGATTCCTGTGGCAGACCTGTTAATAATGTGCAGGTCCCTGAGAAGCAAGTTCAGTAAACATCAGTGACATTGATGGAGAGGCTCTTGGTCCAAATCTGCCTGAAAATCCCTCTTTGATCTTTTCACAGGTCATTGGTTTTTCCTCAGAGACTGTAGCAGCCTTTATTGGTGTCGTTGGAATTCTCTCAATACTAGCTCAGGTGAGAAGCAATTTTTGTGTTGGCTTGAGCAGTCCAAAATTTCTGAGTTAAGAGTTGTCAGAACTCCTCTGGCCACAAAGATTTATGAAACAAAGATGTAAAATTGGGAGGGACCCATAAGAATCCCTCAGCCCTCTTTCTTTGCCCCTGCCTTGAAAACTCCTGTTTTTCTTTGCAGACAGTGGTGTTGGGAATTCTCATGCGCTCCATAGGGAATAAAAACACCATCCTGCTGGGCCTGGGCTTCCAGATCCTGCAGCTTGCCTGGTATGGCTTTGGATCACAGCCTTGGTGAGGGTTTGCCCACATTTCTGTCCCTCTGTGGCCGTTCCCACCCTGCAGCAGCACAGGGTGAGGGCTCAGGGCTGCTCCTCACAGCTCCTCTTCCTCCCCAGGATGATGTGGGCAGCAGGAGCTGTGGCTGCCATGTCCAGCATCACCTTCCCAGCCATCAGTGCCATGGTGTCAAGGAGCACAGACCCTGACCAGCAGGGTGAGTGCCTGGGGACACATCTGGGGGATTTTCTGAGGCCCTGTCGAAGGGAGGAATGAGGAATCTGACTCCATGTTCTTACAAGGCTAATTTAGTATTTTATGAACTATAAAAAAATAGAATATTTATTATATTCTAATATATAATATTCTTTATAGATCATAAAATAATATATAATATTCTAATAATAAAAATAAAATAAATAAAATTATATATATTTAATATAAAATAATATATAATATTATAATGTCAATATATATTAGAACGTAATAATATATTAGAAAATAACAATATGTTAGAATATAACAATAAAATAATTTATTAGAATATAATCTATTCTACTAAAAATAATAAGAAGATATATTAAAAATATATTAAGAATATAATATATTAAGAATACTAAACTAAAACTATACTAAAGAATAGAGAAAGGATACAGACAGAAGGCTAAGTATTTTCTGAGGCCCTGTCGAAGGGAGGAATGAGGAATCTGACTCCATGTTCTTACAAGGCTAATTTAGTATTTTATGATCTATGAAGAATATAATATATTAGAATATTTATTATATTCTGATGTATTATATTCTTTATAGATCATAAATAATACATATTATAATAATAAAATAATTAAAATATATAAATAATATAAAATAATATATAATATTAAAATATTAAAATATTAATATATAAGAATATATCAGAATATATTAGAATATAACAATATATTAGAATAATATATTATAATTCTATATATTTTAATAGAATATATATTCTATTAAAAATATAATATATTCTTAATATAATATATTAAGAATACTAAACTAAAACTATACTAAAGAATAGAGAAAGGATACAGACAGAAGGCTAAGTATTTTCTGAGACCCTCAAAGGGAGGATTGATGAATCTGACTCCATGTTCTTAGAAGGCAAATTTATTATTTTATGATCTATAAAGAATATAATACATTAGAATATTTATTATATTCTAATATATTATATTCGTTTTAGATCACAAAATAATGAATAGTTTTCTAATAATAAAAATAAAGTAATAAAATAATAAATAATATTCTAATATAAAATAATATATAATGTTTTAATATTAATATATCAGAATATAATACGATATTATAATTTAGTAATATATCAGAATATAACAATATATTAGAATATTACTATGATAAAATAATAAATTAGACTAGAATATATTCTATTAAAAATAAAATATTTTATATTCTTAATACTAAACTCAAATTATATTAAAGAATAGAAAAAGGATACAGACAGAAGGCTAAGTATTTTCTGAGACCCTCAAAGGGAGGATTGATGAATCTGACTCCATGTTCTTAGAAGGCTAATTTATTATTTTATGAAATATAAAGAATATATTAGAATATAACAATAATATAATAATATATTAGAATATAATAATATATTAGAATATTATAATATAATATATTCTATTAAAATATTATATATTTATATATAAAATATATAAATATAAATTAAAATATAAAATATAAAATATATAAAAATATAAAATATAAAAATAATATAAAATATAAAAGTAATATATAAATATAATATTTTTATTAGATATTATATTCTTAATATAATATATTAAGAATACTAAACTAAAACTGTGTTAAATAGTAGAGAAAGGATACAGACAGAACACTAAAAGATACTAAAACTTGTGACTCCTTCCAGAGTCCCAACACAGCTGGACCATGATTGGTTATTAAGTCAAAACAATTCACATTAAACCAATCAAACATGCACCTGTTAGTAAACAATGTCCAAGCCACATTCCAAAGCAGCAAAACACAGGAGAAGCAAATCAGATAATTATTATTTTCAGTTTTCTCTGAGGCTTCTCAGCTTCCCAGGAGCCAATCCTGGGCAAAGAGATTTTTTGGGAAAATATGACCGTGACACACATCTGATGGGGCTGGAACAAGGAGGGGAGGGGTTGGCAGGAACATCTGTGCCAGCTGTGCTCACAGCAATATTCACACTCTTATCTTTGACCACGGCTGGTGCTTTAATGGGGAACTCCCAAGTCATGAAAATGCCTCAGAAGGACAACACCACACACCCAGAGGAGGCTGCTGCATTTTGCCTGCCTCACAGTACATCTCTGAATCCTCAGTTAAATTCTAGTTAATTGGAAATTATTGCTTGATGTGCCCATGCTTATTTCAGCCTGCAAAGCAGCAAGCCCAGCATTACTGATTTTTCTAGAACCTGGCACTGATTGAAGCTGCTCATCTGCAAACCCCTCCCCTGCACATCAGCCCAGATCCAAGTGCTCGGTCTTGTTTCTAAATACGTGTCCTGGAATAAAACAAGGGAAACTCACTTGAATTAAATAAGAAACTCGCTTTCTTTGGAGAGCTGGAGGCATTTCCCCTGTTTTCCCTCTGTCCCCAGGTGTGGTGCAGGGGATGATCACTGGAATTCGGGGTCTGTGCAATGGCCTGGGGCCAGCACTCTATGGCTTTGTCTTCTATCTCTTCCACGTGGAGCTGAACGAAATGGCCGAGGTGGAAACGTTGGGCAAGGCCTCCAAACCCAACATGGCCAACCCTACAGATGAGGTACCTGCTCAGCTTCTCACTCTGTTTTCTGGGCTGGGTTTGCCCTCATGTTTGAATCATTCCTCTCTCTCTCTCTCTGTTTCCAGAGCAGCATCATCCCCGGGCCACCCTTCCTGTTCGGGGCATGCTCCGTGCTGCTGTCGCTGCTGGTGGCTCTGTTCATTCCCGAACACAACCTGGCCCTGAGGTCAGGCAGCCACAAGAAGCACAGTGCAGGGGCCCAGGCTCACCCCCACAGCCCACCAGCTGGGGGGTCAGATGGCAAGGAGCCCCTCCTGGAGGACAGCAGTGTGTGAGGTGGGACAGGGGAGCTGCCCCAGGCTCGACTCCACATCGAGGATGGACTGAGCAGGAGTTCAGGGAAGGGGAGAGGGATCCAGGGTCACAGACTGTGCCACTAACAGCTACTGAGGAGGGATGAGGTTTCCCTCTGAGCCAAATACACCCAGCTGGTGCAAAAAATGGAATTGTATCACCTGGTGCTGATGGAGAGGGGAGATAGGGAGCTGCTCCACTGGAGGGATTGTTCTGGAAAGCAAACCTGCCCTTGTGAGTGAGCCCTGTGTGCCCTGCCAAACCCTCTGCCTTGGTGGGAGCTGCCCCTGGAATCAAATCTGGCATTTACTCCATGCTCTTCCTGTGGTGGCACCCTGAGGGGACAGGGGGTGTGTGAGGCACGGGGGGTGCAGCTCTGAGCTTCCTCTCTGCCCCAAGTGAGACTTAGACCAAAAGAATCTAAATCTGCTGTCTTCATGTTCTGATGAAGAGGAGAAAAATGAAGAAGTTGCAGCTGAGAAGGGCAATTTCATTAATTACAAACACTTGGATGGCCACAATGGCTGTGGTTTGTTTGGTTTTCTTTTTTCTTGTCACTCTGACGTGGCATTTGCCTGTTGCCTCCACTGGCAGTAGGTAGAAGAATTTATTTTCAGAAATGTTTTCCTGGAGCTGTGAAGGTTGTTTAGGAGATACAATTCTCTGGCAGGTTGGAGAAACAGCTTGGCTGTGCTGAGCACTTTGGAGACGAGTGGTTTCCAGGGAGAAAGGTCACAGAAATGTCTGTTTACCTTGAGCATTGTGTAAAGCATGCTGGTTTGCCTCTGGGCTCCTTCCATCTGATGCTACCCAAAGAGTGTCCAGAGCTGGTTTGTTCTCAACCCAGTAGATCCTGATGGTGAGGGTCGTGTTGGTTTGGATTCCATGTGGCATTTCTGAGCCTGCTGTGGAGGCTTTTGCTGGTGGAACAGTGGAAGTGCAGCCTCTGCTGCGGGCTCAGCTGTGCTCAGAAAGAGCAGGAGGTGCTGAAAGGAGCTGAGGCAAACAGGGAACGTGTGGTTGTTTATAGAAATGTGGCAGAGGGCAGGAAACAATTGTTCTGATTTGAGTAAATAAGAAGTGGTGGCATTGAGCAGTTCTGGGAAGTAAGGACCAAACCAAGGACACTTCAGGAATTTGAGGTTTGAGGGTGCAGCAGCCAAACCAGTCTTGCCTTGGCTGTTCTCTGCCTGGGGTTCCCTCTCTGTGGGTTTGGGGAAGGTCACCCAGGGGAGAGCAGCCAAAAAGGAGGCAGTGACTGACACAGCAGTGACTGCAAATGCCATTTTATCAGAGGTGGGTATTTAAATGAAAGAATTGACAGTTTATTCTGCATTGATCTGGCCTGGTGGCAGCTGCTGTGCTCAGAACTGGGAGCAGCTGGGACACTGAGGGATGCTGAGATGGATCTGGCTGCAGGTCTGGGGAGGAGCAGAGCCAGCAGAAACTTCCTTGACCTGCCATGACTCCATTTTTCCCTTCCCACAAGCTCCTTGTGGTGACACTCCCAATTCCCAAACATGAGTGGGATGGTCAGTACTGTGTGTGCATGGCAAGCTTTTATCCTGAAGGAAATCCTGTCACTTGCACCTCCAGGCAGCAGTTCCCCCACCTCTGTTCCTCACAAAAATGCCTTTTTTTAGACGGGACTTTTCCCAAGTCCTGGCAATCTGATGATTTATATGGGTTAAAGTGAGCTGAAGTAGGATTTTCCCTCACACACTGATGAAGTAAAAATATAGAATTGTTACCTCAGAGCTTCACGGGTACGATACAGCGACACGTTACAAAAAAGATGAGCATAATTTATATGATATAAAGTATATAGAGATATATTTTTAAAAGTCCTCTCCCTTATTGCATAGTTTATTGAAACCAATGTGTTTCTGATCCCATTCCCTCTCACCACTGCTCTGCTGCCTGTGGCCTCTCAGCCTCTCCTTCCCCTCAGACCCCAGAACAGTCCAGAATCTTCTCTCCCAGCTCATGTCCCTCACCCCTGAGCTTCTGGTGGTGCTGACATGGTGGGCCTGGAGCGTTTTGGTGCCACTGGTCACCAGTGATGGCACTGGTGCAGCTGGGATGGGGACAGTGGATGGATGGAGGGGGGCACAGCACCAGGCAGCAGCAGGACCTCACAGGTGCCATCCCCAACAGAAAAGTGGCTTGTGCTGGTGTGCAGAGCTGGCAGCAGGGGCTCTCAGGTGCAGGGAAGCAAGCAGGGATCCCCATTTACCCTCTTGGGGTTCCTCTCACCTGGTTTGGTGGGGCCTGGGCCCGGTGCCTCCCCTTCCGTCCTGCTCTGCCTCCATGGGACAGAGCAGGAGCTGGGCCAGGCAGTGCTGAAGTCACCAGAGCCAGATGAAGAACAGCTTGTTCTGAAGGGCTGGTGCTTCTGCAGCGTCCCACGTGGAGGCTGGAAAGGCTGTGTGGAGCATTCAGCTGGTTTTTGCCAATTCTCGTTACTTTCTATGAAAACGCAACTTTTTAAAAAGGAGTCTTTTTTTCCTAAAATGTGCTTGATCTGCTGTGCAGTGCCTGAGCCTGGCTGTTTAGGATTTGTCTGCAAGAGACTTCGAAATCTGGGATGGTGACAGCAATGCCCAAACACGAGGCAAAAATCATCTCAGTTTTCCTGTCGGCAGCCCTGGCAGGTCGAGCGAGTTTCAGCTGATCTTGTTGCATTAAAAACCTGAGTTACACCATTGCTTTCTCTTCTGCCATTAATTTTGCAAAGTAGGAACTTTTTACTTCCCTGTTTTTATTCTTTTTCTGCACTCCAAAGGCTGTTGACAGCTGTGGTATCTTTAAAACGTGGGCACTTGGCCCCACCTCTGCTCTCTCACAGTTCACCATCACGTGTGTTTGTGTCTCTTTTTCTTTTTTTTTTTAAGCTAATGATAAAATGTATTTATTTTGGTTCAGGTTGTGTTTGGAACTGGCTAATCTCTCCCTCTGATGGATTATTTATTAAACTGCTGCTTTCCTGTTGTGTCAAAGGTCTCTGTCCTTATTCCTCTGCATCACCTGTGGTACCAGGCAGCTTCTGCCCAGAATTTAAATTCCCCTTGAGAATTAAGGTGTGGGATAGGTTTGGGAGAGCTGGGTGAGGGTTACCAGTCCTTGCCCCAGCCCAGGGGGCAAGGGGCTCCCTGCCCCACTGCAGCCTCCTCCTGGCCTGGTTTTAGTCATCTCAACTCTATTGTCTTAATTTTTCAACCAGGCCTAATTTAGATCTTATCTGACTCATTTAAACACTCTTTGTGGCGGCTGAGGATGGTCCTAAGTGACTAATATAATCCAAAAAAATATATAAACACATCCAAGCCAGCTCTTGGTGCTTGATGGATGGTATCCTGGAAAAATGAGCCATTACACAGCCTGGTGCTTCTGTCTGCATTTCCTCCAGACTGGAATTAGCTTTTGTTTTATTGTTTCCATCTTCAATTGAGAGAAAACCTGTGACTTGTCTCATGTGAGGTGGCTGGAGAACAGAGGGCAGGTGTTGACCACCCTTCAACAACATCCTGCACTGGTGTGGTGGCTCCTGGGGCAAAGCTTTGTCCCTTCTGGTGTCAGACCCCAACCCGAGGGGCTCTGGGGGTATCCTGTGCTGCAGCCAGCACTGGTCCCTTGGTGCTCTGTGTCTCCACACTGAGCTGTTTTGTTTCCTGAGCAGCATCTCTGCACAAAGTTTTGCCTGCCCTGAGGGAGGAAGCACAATCTGCCTCCAGGAAAGGTGTTCAGGCCCCCGAGTCTGGAAAAGCAGCATTGCCTTCGCTCCTTCAAAGGCTTCCTGTGGGTTGCAAAACACTCCTGGTGCGTAATCTTGCTCCTTCTGCCCTGTGCACGCAACCTGGTGCTGTTCCTGTGGGGAAGGTCTGAATTCCACCAAGCAGGAGGTGGAGCAGGGGTTATGGTGGGTTCAGTACTCAGAGTGAGCAAGAGCTGCTCTGGGAGCTCTGCCACATCATTCTGAGCTGGACCAGTCCCCTGGTTCTGTGGCTGAGCCCTTGGAACTGGAGGGTTTTCAGGTTTTGACTCCATTTTCCAACTGTGTTGCCCCCTCTGTGGCACTCCAAGCCCCAAAACAGAGAAAGTGCAGCACAAGTTTCTTGTAACTGCTAATTTCTTGAGGTCCAGCAAAGTCTGAAAAAGCTTCTTTTTAAGATGAGGTGCTTCCCTAAATGCTCAGCTCTCATTCAGAATTGATTCAGGGGTTTTCTCATCACACCAGTGCCACAATCAGGGTTGTGGGAGAGGCAAGTGAAACCCTGGCACCACTCGTGTGTGTCCTCAAGGTTCCCAAACAAATTTTCTGGGAATGTGGGAGCAGCCCTGGCTGTGGTTTGTCCCAGGGTTGGGCAGGGGGCTCTGGAGGCTGCTGGAAAATCCGGGATGTGGCTCTGTTAACACAGGATGGACGGAACAAAAAGCCCAGCACCATTAATCACCTGCTTCGGCTGAGTGAGCACATTTGGTGGGAAGTGTTTACAGAGCACTTTCCTTGCCCAGAGGCCTCCTGCACCCTCGAGAGAATTAATGGCATGACCTTCTAAAATGATGCATGGCACGCCCAGCGCGTGGAGCTGCCTCTCAGAGCAGTTCCCAGCTGGGAAATGTCCAAAATGTCCAAGTCCTGTGGTGGCACTGGGTGCAGAGATGGGCACGTCCCTCCCTCAGCCCTTTGGGACCTTCCCCAGCTTTGGCAGGGTGGGAATGGGGCAGAACAGGGCTCATCCCTGCATGGGGAGCAGGGCAGGAACGAGGGAGTGATGCCAGACCCAGCAGGGACCCATGAGAGATGCTGGATGATGCAGGTGTTCAACACCTCCTCTGTGGTGACACTTTCTCCATCTGTACAAGATCAACCCTCACAGGAACACCTGATTCCATCCCTGAAAATGCCATTTTTGAGGAATAACAGGAATAATCAGCTCACCAGCAGGGCTGACCGTCACTCCTCCATGGGGAGCTGGGCAGGAACAAAGGAGTGATGCCAGACTCAGGACAGATGCTGGATCATGCAGGGTGTTCAACACCTATAGGGTGACAGTTTCTCCATTTGTACAAGACCAAGCCTCACAGGAACACCTGATTCCATCCCTGAAAATGCCATTTTTTAGGAATAACAGGAATAATCAGCTCACCACAGATCTGACCACAGATCCTGGCTCTGCTTTTGGGGCAGGGCCCTTTCCACAACCCCCCAGCATCTTTTGGGGTCAGGGAAAGTTTGGTTTGCCAGAGCCTCTGGGGGAGCGATCCCTGCAAAAAAACAGGGATAGAGCTGGATCTGAGCCACATCCTGGGGTGTGAGTGCCTGGCAGGGCTCCTTGCTAGGGTGATGGGGACCTGAAGGGACAGGGACTTTCCTGGGTTTGGAGGGGCTGCCGGCTTGGCCCTCGGCTGGGTGTTGTGGAAAAGCTGAACTTGGAAGAAAATCAGAAATCTCCCTCTGGAAATACCCCTCGGGCGGGAAGTTGTGGAGATCCTGGGGCCGCTGCTCCTGGGGGCGGTTCCTACAGGGCTTAAGAAGGGCTGAGGTTGGAGCCGGCGGCCAGAAGGAGACAGCCCCGGCCAGCAGCTGGAAAGAGGGGAAGGAATGAAAGAAGGGAAAACCAGCGCTGCTGCTGCCCTGTGGGTGATGGAGCCGGCTCCTGTCCTTCTCCTCCTCCTCCTCGGCTCGCTGTGGGGCTGCAGCGGTGAGTGCCATGGGGCCGAGAGCCACCCTAAACCCCCAAGCTGCTCTCCTTGCTTCACCCTACAGCCTCAGGAGCTCCCTGTCCCCAAACCGCTGCTGTCCCACCGCTGGTGGCTGTCCCCTGACCCTGCACTTTCCTCCTGCCCAGGTGGCCCTGCTGACAGGCTGGTGGTGACACCTCGGGAGCCCGTGGTGCCCTTTGGGGGCTCGACAGAGCTGAACTGCTCCCTGGCCTGCGCAGAGGGCAAGGTGGAGTGGAGGGGGCTGGACACAGCCCTGGGCACCATCTCCTCCTTCTCCACCCACAGCATCCTGCACATCCAGCACGCCACGGTGGCCACGGAGGGCACGAAGTTCTGCGAGGGCAAATGCCACGGGAAGGACTACAAGGAAAGTGTCACACTGAAGGTTTATGGTAAGCACTGCCTGTCGCAGACATCTCTTATGGAAAATCTTTTCTTTAGAAATTTTCTTCCTCCTGAGGAGCTGAGAGGCCTCAGGAACAACATGTAAACATTGATTATCTGCTGCTGTGGAATGTAACAGGTAGATCTTTGATTAGCCCATGTTAGATGTTTGTAATTAATGGCCAATCACAGCCCAGCTAGCTCAGACACAGAGCCCGAGCCACAAACCTTTGTTATCATTCTTTGCTATTCTATTCTTAGCCAGCCTTCTGATTAAATCCTTTCTTCTATTCTTTTAGTATAGTTTCAATATAATATATATCATAAAATAATAAATCAAGCCTTCTGAAACATGGAGTCAGATCCTCGTCTCTTCCCTCATCCTAAGACCCCTGTGAACACCGTCACAACTCCCCAGCCCATCCCTCACTGCCTCCTCCCAGCACAGCCCTGCATCCCCAGGGCAGCCCCTTTCCTCCTGAGCTAAAAATCACCCCTGACCCTGCTCTGACTCCTTTCCAGCCCTCCCAGACGCACTGAGCCTGGAGGCATCTCCTCGCACCCTGCGCCCAGGGCACCCTGCCAGCCTGACCTGCATGGCCACACACCTGTACCCTCCCAATGGCCTGGCCCTCACCTGGTACCGGGGCCACCACGTGCTGGAGAACCTTACAGACCCTGACTGCGAGGATCCTGATGAGGAGGAGCTGTGTACCATCGTTTCCAGCCTGTCGGTGAAGGGCACAGAGGTGGCAGAAGGGGTGGAGTTCAGGTGCGAGGTGACGCTGCGTGTCGGGCAGGAGACCTTCAGCAGGGTGGCATCTCTGGTGGCAAGGGCTGAGGGTGAGTGCCAGGAGGGGCTGGGGACCACAACCTGCATGTCCTCCAGTGCCCTGTGCTCCTCAAAATAGCTCTGCCAAGCAGCTGCACCATTCCTGAATTTTCCACCCCTGTCCCTGCTGGCGCTGCCCCTTTGCTCTGGGGCTGGAGGAGCTGGGGGCTGCAGCGAGCTGAGCTCCCCTGTGACCAAGGCTTGCTGTGTTTGCAGCTGTGATGACACCAGCCATGGCCACCTCCATGAGGAGCCCCAGCACAGCCACCGAGGCCACCACAGCCCTCCCTCCAGGGCCAGGTGTCCCCACAGGTGACCCCACCACAGCACGGGAGCCCAACGCTGGCACCACTCAGGATCTGGCTGCTGTCACCAATGCCCCCTCCACGGAGCCCTCAGTGCCCCAGGACCCCACGGCAAGCACCCACACGGCAGATGTGGCCACCAGCGCCCTCCCTGCGGCGACAGAGCCACCTCTGGGGACAATGCCAGCCTGCAGCCTGCAGATGCGGTCGCTGCCACCCACCGGGACGCGGGGCAGGGCTCTGCGCATCGAGTGCCACGCTCGGTGCCCCGGGAACGCCACGGTGCGCTGGCTGCGGACCCCCGCAGCCCTCGGGCAGTACCGGGAGGAGTCTGCGGGCAGCAGCTCCGCCCTGCGGCTGGACAGCGCCGAGCCCTGGCACCAGGGACACTACCAGTGCGTCCTGCGGGGCCACCACCGCGCACAGGTGGCCAGCCTGGAGGTGATGGTGGTGGATGGTGAGTGGTGCTGGTCTGCGGACCCCTGTCCTTATCGCTGGGGTGGGCTGCAACCCCTCGTGTCCGTGCCACAGTTGGTGCTGGGGGCTGGGGATGGATGTCCAGGAAGCTCTCCTAGACCTTCCTAGACCTCAAGAAATTAAGTTACCAGAAAACCCCACACCTTGTGCTGCACGTTGTTTTGGGGCTTGGAGTGCCATGGTTTAGTTGGGGTGTTGGTTTGGACTGGATGATCTTGAAGGTCTCTTCCAACCCAGTGATTCTGTGAATTATTCTGTGAATTATTCTGTGAATTTTTCTGTGAATTCTGTGCATTATTCTGTGAATTATTCTGTGAATTCTGTGAATTATTCTGTGAATTATTCTATGAATTCTGTGAATTATTCTATGAATTCTGTGAATTATTCAGTGAATTATTCAGTGAATTCTGAGAATTATTCAGTGAATTATTCTGTGAATTATTCTATGAATTCTGTGAATTATTCTGTGACTCGCTCACCCCTCGGCATTTCCATGCAATAACACGACCGTGTCTTTGCAGATTCCTTCAGCTCCAGCCCTGCCATCGCCATGGGCACAGCGGGATCGCTCCTGGGGCTCATCGCCACTGCTGCCGTGTCCCGAAGCCTGTGGAAGTGGTTCAGATCCCGGTAGCCGCTGTCCGGGGAGTGGCAACAACCGGGTGGCGGCCCCGGCCCTCCTGGGTGTCCTTGCTGTCCCCCGGTTGTCGCTGAAGGAGCAGGATGAGGAGCAGCTGCCGCGGGAGGCAAAGCCTGGAAGGACAATGAGCACAGGCGACACAGGACTGCATCCCCGCGGGCTGGCACCGATCACCGGGTGTGTGGAGCTCCCGGTACCGGCGGACGGGCGGGAGCACGGAGGTCCCGGGGGAGCGTGGGCCCGGCGGGCGGGTGGGACCGGTGCTCCAATAAAGAGCTGGTTTCCGTTCGGGCCCTCAGCAAAGTGTCTGTGATGAACGTCCAATCACTTGTTTGTAAAATTTTAATAGTAATAAAATGGTTATAAAAATAGTAATACAATTAGAGTGATAATAATTTGGACAGTTTGGATTAAGACAATATGAGACAACAAATACAAAGAGTTATGGATGGTCCAGGTACCTTTTTCTGGGCAGCACGAGCCCGAAAAAGGACACAGTTAACAAAGGATTAACCCTTAAAAGCAATAACCTGTTGCATATTCATACACTTCATACATGATGCATAAATTCCGTTCAAACACAGGATTCTGTCTGGTCAGTGTCAACTTCTTCCTCCGAATCCCAACAGCGCCTTTGAGGTGGGAAGAAGTTCGCTTCTTCTGATAAGAGAGCAATAAATTCTTTTTCTCTGAAAGATTTAGGTGTCCTGTGCCTGCTATCTCGCTGCCAGTCCTTACCTTAAAAAAAGTATCTTACATAGAATCATTTCTATTTTAACAATTTTTATAACCTAAAACTATATTTAACACACTACTTAAAAGAATTAATACAGCATTACTTTCTGCAAAAACACATATAATATTCATTATAATATTTGAGAAAAGCCAATCACAAAATACATGAATTTTCAGTGTCCTTTGGGACCGGTCCCACGGCCCCAGGGCACCCCGGCCTGCCCGCAGTAAACATGGCGGCCACCGCGCCAGTCGCGTTGATAGCGCAGCTCCTTTGACCACACTCAAAATGGCGGCCGCGGCCTCGCCCAATGGCGGCGTTCCCTCACAGCCTTCCTGCCCACCATTGGCTGCCAGCGTGTAAGATGGCGGCATCAAAACTTCCGCCCCGGGCGGAAGCGCGGTCCAAGATGGCGGCGTACGAGAAGCGGCGAGCGGCCGCCGCCCCTGTACCGGCGGGGGGCAGCGGGCTGCCGGAACCGGGGCGGGCAGCGCCGGGGGGCGGCGGGCCGGCGGAGGGCAGCGCGGCGGAGTTCCTGCTGCGAGCCGGCGTCACGGCCATGGTGCGGGAGGCGCTGCTGAAGGTGCTGGAGGCGCGGCCCGCCGAGCCCGTGTCATTCCTGGCCGAGTACTTCGAGCGGCTGGTGCTGGCGGAGGCGGCGGCGGAACCCCCGGGGCCGCCGCAGCGCCTGGCCCGGGCGCTGTGGTACGTGTGCCTGGCTCATCACTCGCACAGGTGCGGCGAGCGGCGGCGGCGGGGGGCGGCGGGGACGGGGGGCGAGGCCGCCTCTGTGTGTTTGTGTGTGTGCCATGTCGCGACAGGACGGCCTTCGACAGCAACACCGGCGCGGCCTACGAGGTGCTGGGCTGCGGCGGGCGGCGGCGGACGGCGGGCGTGGACGGGCGGCTCTACAGCGAGCTGCTGAGGCGGATCTGCCAGCGCGGGGCGGCCCCGGCCGAGGCGGCGGCCGAGCTGCTGCGCCGCGTCCGGTGCCGCGACCACGAGGCCGTCCCGTTCGACGTGTTCCGCTACGGCGTCCTCACCTGCTGCGTGCTGCTGGAGTTCGCGGCCAAAGCGGACGCGCTGTTCGCCGTGCTGGGCGCCGGGGACTCGGCGGACAGCCGGCTGTGCCAGGCCGTGCTGCGGGCGCTGGAGGACGCGCTGGGAGCCGGGCACGGCCCGCGGCCCGGCCGCTACCTGGAGGCGGGCTCCAGGCTGGGCCCCGACAGGCTGGCACTGGCCATGGACCAGGCGCTGCAGGAGAGGAAGATGGGCTCCTCCATGAGCAGGGAGGAGTTCCTGAGCAAAGCCACGGCGCTGTTCATAGCCAAGGTGAAGCCCGTGGAGTGATGTAGGGTGGGAGCAGCGCTGGCTGTGGCTCCTCTCAGAGCTGGACGGTGAGCACAGGGAGCTGGCTGGAGAGCCCAGCAAGAGATTCCCAGTTTCCACACTCCCTGCCTGCTCTGATGGTGCCCAGCAGCTCCGTGTCCCAGCTGGGAGATCCCTCTCAGGGATTATCCAGGACTCACGTGGAGGCTGTGACCCGTGGAGCTGCTTTGGGCAGTGAAGTGACCCAGAAGGAACAAAGTGTGGGGCTGGGCTGTGGCTGCACAGGGGCAGCTGGGGAGGGCTGAGGTGGTTTGGGATGTGAGACACATCCCCTTCCCCCAGGACCAGCTGCGTGTCGGGCCGGGGGTTATTTATTTAAACTTGTCTGATCGTTATTTATACTGTTCAATTCCTGGTTTGCTGTAAGACATTAAAGCTTTTTTTATTATTTTTTAGTGGCCACTTTCTTAACTCCTGGCAGCATTAAGTGCCAGAACGAGCAGCAGAAGTGCCCAGAGCCCTGGGGGTAGTGTCGGCAGCAGGTGCAGGACTGTGGCAGAGCCGGTGGGGGGATCCCCACGGGCTCGGGATGTTGTGTTGGGGCGGATGTTCCGCTCCCTGCGGGCAGAACTGGGTGAGGCTGCGGCTGGCGGCTCCTGACGCGGGCACAGCTGACGGGATGTGACACAAAGCCAGCTGCGAGCCGGGGATTCCTGAAGCTGAGCAGCCTCTGCTGCTGTGAATTGTCGCACAGCGGTGACACCCGCAGGCTGGCCGGGGTTCTGTGTGCTAGGGAGCGCCCGCCCATCGCTGGGTTCCCTCGGTGGGCCGGTGCCACCGGGAGCACCGGGGGAGCCGCCCCGCCCATCGCTGGATTCGCTCGGTGGGCCGGTGCCACCGGGGGAGCTGCCCTGCCCATTGTTGGGTTCGCTCGGTGAGCTGGTGACACCGGGAGCACCGAGGGAGCCGCCATGCCCATCGTTGGGTTCGCTCGGTGAGCCGGTGACACCGGGAACGTCACCGGGGGCACCGGGGGAGCCGCCCTGCCCATCGCTAGATTCTCTCGGTGGGCCGGTGATACCAGGCGAGTCCCAGGGCGTTCACCCATCCCTAAATACACTCGGTAGGCCGGTGACACCGGGGAAGTCCCAGGGCGTTCGCCCATCCCTGAATACACTCGGTGGGCTGGTGCTACCGGGAGCCCCGGGGCGCCCCCTCATCGCTGGGTTCGCTCGGTGAGCCGGTGCCACCGGGGGAGCCCTGGGGCGTTCGCCCATCGCTGGGTGCCACTGGCAGCGCCATCAGGGGCACCGGCGGAGCCGCCCCGCCCACCTACCCCACCCCGCGCTCCGATTGGCCAGCGACACCCGTAGGGGCGTTTCCCTCGGAGGCCACGCCCCTCCCGGCGCTCCAGCCCCCGCCGTGCCCCGCGTGGCCCCGGTGGCGCCGCCGAGAGCCCCGGTAGAGCGGCATGGCGCGGCCCGCCGTGCCCAGCTCGCAGAAGGCGCTGCTGCTGGAGCTCAAGGGGCTGCAGGAGGAGCCCGTGGAGGGGTTCCGCGTCGGGCTGGTGGACGAGGGGGACCTGTACACCTGGGACGTGGCCATCTTCGGACCCCCGGACACGCACTACGAGGGCGGATACTTCAAGGTGAGCGGCGGGGAAGGCAGAGCAGGGGGTGTCGGGGATGTGCTGCGTGTTTTTGGAAGGAGTTTCTCAGTTTTGGGAAGGGGTGAGACCCTGTGAGGGGGATGTGGGTGTCCTGGGTGGGTGTAGGGGTCGTGACAGAGCTGCTCCCAAGTTTAGGGGTGAGTTAAAGGAGAGTTGGGTCTTTCACTGGGCCCCTGGGGGTCCCCGGGGCTTTGGGGTCCTGGCAGGGAGATGGTGTGGAAGTGGCTGCCGCCAAACTAATGAGGGTCGCCTTATGAGGGGCTTCAAACACCCCCCTGCCCCCCTGGTCTGAGGGTGGACAGTGAGCTCCAGGTCACTGAGGTTCCCTCTGCTGGAGGGCATCAGAGTCATTGCCACCAGACCAGGAAAAAGATAAAATTCTGCCAGGGTGGGAGCAGGGGGCTGGGTTAGAGAAAGAGTGTCGTGGTTTGGGGTGGGAGAAGGTGTTTGTTGGTCTGAGTGCGCAGTGCCCCCTCGGCAGGATGTGTGTGTGCTCTTCCCAGGTATTGTGCAACCTGGGGTAGCTGTTTTCTTCCTCTTTCTCATCCTCCCTCCTCCGTGGAGCCCTTGTGTTTTCATCCTGTTGCTGTCAGGGTGGGGATGCACAGGGTGACTCACCCAGGGTTAGCTCTGTTTGTTTTCCTGGCGCTCCTGAGCCGGGTTTCATCTCTTCACTGGAGTGCAGGGATTTTTTTCCCCACAGCATTTTAGCATGAAACCCTGTGAACTCTCACCCTTTCAGCCCCTCATGCTCCTGTTTTGTGCTTGAGAGCTTCCAAACTCAGCACAGTGCTGGCGAGGCTGTGCGTTAGAGGAGAGCAGAGGGGCAGAGCATTGCCCAGCCTGTTTGTACACACAGGGTGGGGGTTGTTGCTGTCCAAGCCCCCTTTGGCATCGCTTTGATTCAGCTGGTTTTGTTCTGATCCCCTCTGACACAACAAAGGGGATTATTCTGCCGTGTTCAGCTGTTTGGCCAGAGCCCAGCACGGGGCTGTGTGTCACTGCCCTGCACTCCACACTCACAACACATCCCCCACTGCACTTTCCCCTTTTCCCACCGCCTGTCCTGTGCCATGGATTTTTCTCAGTTCATGTACAAGGGAATCCACTGTCTGGATTTTCTTTTACATGGACTGAGGGAGCAAGAAGCATTCAGGGAGTTGTCGTGTTGAGTCTTGATCTGCAAGTTTGCTCCCAGGGCCTGGAAACAGCTGAGAGCTGAATCAGTCACTGGGAATTTGTGCAGCCACACAGGGAGAA